AGCTAGAGGAATAAAATTCAGAAGTTATGAAACTGCATTTTCCCACATTACTACACTAAGGAACTCCGAAAGGCTTTTGTCCTGACTAATATCTGATCATTACTTAGGAAAACCTGATTTATATATATATGTCCACCGTCTCTCTTTTCATTGTACATGTAAACTAAATTATCAAAATCATGTTCGTATTACGGATTGTCTTTTCTAACTTCTAGCTTGCCTAAAATTGTTACATTTTAATACAAAATGGATTCATAGGTTTATGTCAGACAAGCTTAAGCCAGTTTCAATAAAGCTTATATCAATCTTTAGACATATTGACAGGCCTTCTTTCTTTGTAAATGAACTAAGTACATTCACTTTTTTGCATACTTGCATGCGTCATAATGTATACAATGAGGCGGAGTGAAATAGCATTTCACTGCCTTCCTACTGATGCGAAATAACTTGGTGTAGTATATTTGGTCCCATAAAAATAAACCATAGACTTCCAACTACATTGCTGATACTATCTTTGTTTATTATTAGATAAAAAGTAATAATCTCCAATTAGTGTTGTGAACTATCGCAAAATTTGTGTTAGGATACAGTTCATCAACAAACATCCCAAACAGACAGTTAATAATAAGTTTGTCAAGGAAATATATCCAAAGTGATTTGGTCAACTTTTGGTAGCGTTGAAGTTCTATAACAGACTGAGGAAACAAGCAGGAAATAATTCGACAGAAAATTTCCATAGCCTAAAGATTTTCTTTCATTTTAACTAAAAATAGACATTGCTATCAAACTGAGCAATCACTGCCTATATGCAGCAGCAAACAGCTGACTGACTTTTTCGATTGTCATGCCTAACCTTTAGATATTTCTTTTAAACGAAGTTTCTATCAATAACACTCTAAAACTTCCAACGGATAAGAACTGGCAATAACATTTTTATACATCTAAAGATCAAATTAATGAAGTGTTGTATTGGTATCGTTAACACATGTATAATGATAGCGAAATTCTTCCCAACACTTTTTTTCTAAACGTCATGCGCTAAGTGATTTTATTAATAAGGTATGATAAATCATAAATAGTGTTTGTTTCTGTTGCCTACATATGGAGTTGTGGAGTTCATGAATTAATAAATAAATGTAACACCACTGAAAACAACATCTTGCTTCACAGTTTTGATTGATATCTACCTGAATGAAACATTTAACAGAAACTGGATAACTCGAAAGTTGTCTTCTCACCTGTCGTCTCGATAAAATAGTCATACGAAAACTTGTGACACCAGAAAAAATCAAATGATACAAATTTATGTATACATATATCGAGAAATATTCGCACAAAACAATAACGAATACAATGGCAATTGAAAAAATGAAGTAGTCTTGATATATATATATATCCATTTTTATACAAATTTTAAGTGCATCTCAGTTAACAATGATAAAAACAATTTTAGATTTTGGTACATACCATTTTCATTTAAATGAATTTCTTTCTTACTATCTTTTTAATCTTCTAGGATAACGAAATTGTAGTAAATGGGCAGGGAATTCAGTCTAATAATGATGGTTAAAATTAGGCATTCTGAAACTTATGTGGATATAATATATGTCGTATATTATTGATACAATGAAGTCTAAAGCTTTTTCCAACTACTTACTTACCTCACGTTGAAGATTTTCAACCTACTAAATTTAACTTGTGTCTATTGAGAGGAAGGTTTACTTTTCTGTCAGCTATCACTGTTCTAGACGTATTGCATTGACTTCAGTTCGCTTGAATTTGACCCCTTACAACCAGTGGAGTAATTTTGTTGTAAATCAGATTCTACCACAACTTTTATGCTGGCTTCTGGTTAAGATACGATACATCATTCTTCATTCTCCTCTAGGTGAAACTAAAATATGTGTGAGAACAACAAAGTTCAGCGAAGAGTCTCCTTTCGGCGATTTCATTAACTTAGCTGTACAGTCGCATTTAAATATAATTATTTTGTGTGTGTGTGTGTACATTAGGATTGTCAAACGAATATTAATTAGGGTTCTTGTTTACGTCGTCAGAATGTCTCCAAAATGTGATGATGACGTAAACAAGAATCCTAACTAATTTTTGTTCGACAATCCTTGTGCACAGACACACACGACATAATTATATATCAATGCTACTGAACAGTTAAGTTAATGAAATCGCCGAAAGGAGACTCTTCGCTGAACATCTTTGTTCTTATATTCATGTCTGGATGAGTATTTTCCGTGGATTAACATATTTGTACCCTTAGTAACAGAAAAAGTGTTTAAAAGCCCTCCTGGACGATCTGATCCTAATATTTACAATTATTTGAACATTCCAACTTTGTAATTATTACCCATTTTTCTCCTAGACTGTATATCACTATTCTCACACTTGCCTATCACATTTTGATTTGATACTCATCATTTGTCGTTGTCAATGGTTAATCTCCAATTGTATTGCTGCTCCTGGTGGTTGTGTGCACATTGATAATTTGTTGTTTTACAAAGTGACTTTGTTTGAATGAATCAGAGTCATTTTGACTTTGGACTATCTGCGAGGAACGTTGATGTATGCCACTTGTTGACAGAGCTTTTGATCACACCTTGTTGAGAATATTCTACTTGATTCCAAGGTACTTCTTGTGGTCGAATTTTGGCTAATTTACTTTGTTCTATAGTAGTTGTTTTGTACTTAGAAATTTATCTTGTCTGTATACCTGCCTAACAACATTTTTTAAAATTTTATTATTGTTGTTGAATAGATCCAGATATCTGTTGGTTAACAGTCATTGTTTTACTTTCTTTTGAGTGTTTTGTGACTGTGCGTCTCTCAAGGAAGTTACAGACCTCTGTGTCGTAGGATGCGAAGACTGGCTCAGACTACAGTGGGTCGGTTTTGGTCACCGAACTCACTGTCAACAATTTTACCTTTCTTAGACTTTTGAAAGATTCTTTTTTGTGTTGAAGCGCCAAAAGAACAAACGCAAACGTGTTCGTTTTGATAATTTCAGCCCAGGTTGCCAAAATATAAACGATTTTTATACAACGTGAATGGATTTCAATTTTCTGAAATGCAGTTTTATATTCTGGCGTTATAACTCTAAATAAGATTCCGCTCTTTTTAAATGCATTAGGTTTATAGTGTTAAATACAAAAGACATTTTCGATAAATGCATCATTGAAAATAGCAAAAAGCGTTTATTTTCCTTCTAGTTTAAGGGGTGATTTAAAATAACCGGAATAAAATGAGCATGTTTTGTGTTTGGTTTTATTTCTTACTTACAATTCATTCAGTAGTGTTATTCAAGATTTTTCATTCATGGGATCGGATTTGCTTATATTTGCGCAAGTTCGAATAAATAGATTTATATACATTTTATTCAATTTTGTGTTAACAACTGCAAAATGTTCATTCTGGAACATTCTCACTGTTATGTACCGGATAAGTCAGACTTTCTATCCCTTTACTTTTGAAGTAGACGTTTCAGTTTCTTTTATTCACCGAAATTTATTGAAACCGCAAAATTACAACGCTGTCATCCCGTATTTGGTTCCTCGAACAGTTCACTTTTAGCGCCAATGGAAACAAAGTGTGGTGTTTTAAATTTCGGAATATGGAAACTTAATTTAGCTTTTTCTATTTACACCTCTTTTAATCAAATACATGAAGGCTTATTTTATCATAAAAAATAGTAGTGCTTATCAACAACCTGTCTTCTCAGGAAGAGATATAAACTATTTAACATCAGGAAACGACTTATAATCCAACACTTGCTTCAGTAATAACAATAACTGTCGCCGGGTTCTTGTTACGTCTCAAACGATAGAAAATTTAGCGAAGAAATTTTTCTTTATCGACGAAGTTATCTTTATCGTATTCTTGTTTACTAAAAAAGGTACAAATCTATTATACAGTAAAAGCGGATGTGAAGAGTGCTGATTGTTTGTTTTTTCAAATTTATGCAAAACAGTAGACTAACTTTCCTGAAATGTATTAGACAGTTTTACTGCATTTCCATAATCTAGTGTTAATTTAAGTATCCTTTTCACTACTGTATTGGAATGTTTTTAGTCAAATCTATTGCTTCATACTGTCTAGAATAAGATAATAACGAATCGTAATGCATTATTTTCTTCGGGTAAAACAGTCAGAAAATTGTGTTTCTCACATTTTGATGTGGCACAAAAACCCTATCTTTTGATGTTACCCTAAAAATACTTCAAGTATTGGTTTTGTAGGGAATTTTGTTTGATTAGTTGGAGGATTTCATCATGAGCTGACATCAGTAACCCAGTATCCAGGAAATCCTGGGTTCAAACCCCGGTGGATGCATACTGACGAAGAGACCCACACTAGGACGAAACAGCTGTCTAGTACTCCCAGGTTTTCCAGTGGTTCCCTAATTGATATCAGCTCATGGTGAAATCCTCCAACTAATAAAAATACTTCAGTTAAATACCACTTTGAGTGCTTAAAGGTTATATGATTTAAAAAAATCATAGTATGATGACATTCTTGGAAAATTTGCACAGCTTCAGCCTACATTATACTCACCATAGATGAAAATAGAGCAACAAAGACCAGGTAATTCAAAACTCAGTCTTGCTATTCACACAGGCATATTTTCGTTACAGTCTTTAATTATTAGGAGTGGAAATCATGATTATTGTGCAGCTATATAACTGTTTGCTAACAACCTAATAACACCCTAACCAGTATAAAGATTACATTTGTTAAATCTCAGAGAAATAAAAATGAGTAATTCCAAAGTGTCGTTCAGAAAACTTGTCCAAATTTCTTCAAGATAGTTAATCTAAAATTAAAGTAACAAAGGTTTATGCACTAATCAGTATTATTGCTGAACAATTTATTCAGTTATGTAATCAGTTAAATATGAATTTCTATTCTTCGTAATGATATGAATTTTAAATTTACAGGAGACGGTACCAATTAGTTACCCTCATTCTGAAAATTCTTCTGTTAATTTATAGAATTTGGTCGTACCTACCAGTTTGAAGTTGCCGCATATAATGGGGTTGACCTTGGTCTTCCTGCTCAATTAAATATCAGTACACCAGAAGATGGTAAGACTGTAATTTATGTTTTAATCAGTGAGAGTATACTGTATAAATAACCATATTCTAACATGTACTGTCATCTTCATACGATAATTTCCTGAGTGACATTGTTCATGCTGCCTAGTTACTCAGCTTTTAAGAGAATTATCCAGATTTAAAGAGTAGATTATCTGCTAAATACTGAATGGATCAGTGTTTTGGAGATTTCAGAAGCCATATTTGCATAATTTAACCACTTATACGTCGTAAATTGTTTTGCTAACATCATCTCTTTGAAGAAGCAAATTTGCCTAGGTTACTACAAATACTATAATAGGAATACATAAAACAACCACTTCTTTAAGAAAATATCAACTGTTAGCTTATGCTGACTAATACTCTCCATTAGATATTTATCGAACTAGAAGCACTTCACTACGCCCAACTTGTTACTCGGTTTCCATGCATTTTCAGTGGAAATAAGCCCACATCATGTATCAATATATACATTTTATTTTTATTAATGTTTATGTATACATAAATATATGCTTACAAAGCAATGCTGTTTGTAATGCTAATGGGTATATATTTCTGGTTTAACACAGACTTTAAAAGTGAATAGTTTCTCCATAAAACTTCCAAACTGCTATAATTAAAAGGGGACTATATTGCATTAGTCATGGGTCCATATAATGACAGCTGAGACACTATAATGAAAGCTGTATATAAGGATAAATACTGTTAGTAGACAACGTGACATCAGTATAAGCAAGAAAAAATAACTGTCTGGTGAAGAAATGAGTTTACAGTAGCTTAAAGAGTATGAAATGCGTCAGGAGAATCTTGTTTGCAAAACCTCTTCACCATTTTGATCCTCAAAAATTTTAGAGGAAGATTATAACCTTCACTTGATTGGGAACAAGAACCAATACTCAGTAAAGTGTATCGAATCAATTTCTCACCAGGGAAAATTAAGAACAATCAAATTTGTTAAAGTCCTTATTTATTAGCGTTTCATTCATCTTATCCCAGTATTCACAAAAGTGCTTAGGATTATGATACCTTATTTAGAAAAATATTTCAGCCATTTAGGAAATTTTATCAGTAATATCCCGAAGTAAATCAGACCTCCACTCTTTGATATGATCTCGTTAGGATATCGAAATCCCTTATGGAAACTAGTTAATCAACTTTCATTTATGTCTTATTTATCAAGTTATTTGTGGGCACTGAACGTCCCTGCAGTTGTCTTTATACACTGGTAATAATTAGGCGTTCATTTAATAACCGGAAGCAACAAATTATCAGGCACAGTAATCGTTAATTTCAGTTATCATACTAAATTATTAAAACCAAAGTGGACGTTTTCAGTGTCTACTGTTTAGGTTGAAATTTCTTTCGATTTTATGGGCTAGTTGTGTCTATAATAAAGTCAACTCCTGTTATCACACACCTCAGTATCTAATGTGGATTCCATAGGTTATCCTGAATGATAGTCACAATTCACTTGCTCACAATATGAAAGTTTGCTTTATAATGATTATTGCAGATAAATGGAAAACTTATTAAAGTTAATTTAAATTGTTTCAATTAAATCAACAGTTCATTATTTTTATTCTTTATTTTCTTCTTTCGGCGATAAAATACAGTGCCCGGAAGCTATCTATTACATGTGCGCGTTAAAGGTCTTTCAGCTACTGCTATTGAAGTTTCATGGACTCCACCTTCAAGACAAAAGTGGAATGAAGAAATTATGAGCTATCAGGTAATCATTGTACATTTTTTATAAAATCATTTAGCAAACTTTAGTACTTTCACTTTCGTCGAGTGTTAGATTCATAAATGATGAAGAACCGTTTGACTTTTAAACCCATCAAACCGCGTAGAAATTAAAATCTTAAATTTGAGATATTTTGCAACCAAAGTTCTGAAACACTATAGTATTCTCTAGAAATACCTAATACTATTATCAGCAGCGATCATAAGTATACAGTACTTGAAAGCAGCTGGTAAAATAATTAAGAAATAACATTAGGCTGGTAAACCTGTCTACTTCGCGAACTGGGGATGGCGCTTGTTGTTAGTGTATACATACACCTCTGTAAAATTATTCATTTGAATAGATAACGTGATTTTACGTGATCTGAGTCCTGAAAGTGAAGTCTTAGCTAATTTGCATGATCTGAACATTTCATTTCAAAAACGTCTGCCACAACCATTTGATGAAAAACAAATGTCAAGAACGTTTTTTGTAAGCCTATCTTACTTCCGAACTTGCTCCTTAAACAAAAGTCAGCCTAAGCTTTTCTCATGCAACTTTAAATTTATTACTGAAGGCTTTTGGTTTTCTTTGTATGCTTTTCTATTCATGGTCAAAAAGGAACTGACAGTACTTCATTTCTCGCTCTATTAAATATTATTTATTCAGGTTCGATATTTTCAACCAAGTGCACCGAATGAAACCGAAGTTATAACAACAACACAGGAACCACGTTTGCAAATTGAAAATCTTAAAGAGCGTACATTTTATACTGTATTGGTGAGAGCGTTAACTAGAAATGGAGCAGGACCATGGTCAGCAGCCAGCACTATTCGAACTACCGCTGAATGTAATCATACTTTTTTACTTCTCAAGTTTTATGCTACGTAAATTCATTTCTGTGTTACACAAAATATCATTTACTCCCCTTTTTATTTCATACATATATTATATGTGGAATTAAAGTTAACACGATTATTTAAATCAGTTAACGCGAGTATGATACTCTGAGTCACTCAAACTGAAATTTGTCAACTTTAAAATAAATGACATTTTTACCTAGAATGCAAACAAACGATGTTTACGATACCACTTTAAACAATACACGATTAAATCTACGCCGTCATTCACTTGGATTTTATTTTGTGAATCCATTTGAAGACAACTTTCATATCGAACATATATCAGAAGGACTACACCAACAACAAAATATGGTTAGACGATATTTTTGTTCAACCTTAAGAAAGTGACATTCATTTAGTGATGAACAAAGCTTGAAATTATACGGCAGATTACCTGTCTGTCAGGCAACTGAATATTTCTGTTATTTTTAGCTTTTTGATACAAGATAATAAGTATCTTTAGGAATGTACTGTACATTTTAGGAATGTTACGTATTTACTTTAAATGTTCACATTACATTTATGCATCTAAGTCAATTTCTGTGAACGATGATCGTTATTTAACAGAATGTGAGTTATTTTATTAATGAACTGCAATTTAGACAGAATGATTTTGTGCAGATTTGAATAAGAACGTAGCTATCGCAAATCTACACTATCTGTTCATGTTAAAGTAATACCTATCTTCTTAGAAATTCTGTTAATAGTCAATGCCATTATTCATCTTAGTTATTTTGGCATATATTTAGGCAACGTAAAGAAAAGAGACAAACAGAATATTCTGAGAATTAGTTACGTGAAGGTGACAAATTTGTCAGGGTAAACGTTCTGAAAGAAAAGCCGGAATGGAAAGATCAGTAATAATCAAAAAGCTGAGAGAATGGAAGCGAGTAGTTGTGAGAAAAAGGGGTTTCAACACTCGAAAAAGTCGTAAAACACTATTTTATACGATTGAATTGGTAAAATATATAATCTCAAAATACTCCAGACAGAAAATATCATACAGTTTTCATTGAAAAGATAAATATAAGTGTTATTTATTGTAGCTTTGCTGATTGAATAAAGCGTAGCTTAATGATCAACCTGACACGTATTAATGAAGGAAAAGTTAATGTCATCAATTACTTTACTAATGTAACCTAGATATAATTCAAACACTTAGTTCTTATAAACGGAAGCTCCTGTTGCTGATGTCTTATTTTTCTGAATTACTTTTTTATACGTGTGTTGTATGTACTGCCCAAACAAGAGCACCACTGGTTTGAAAATTTATTTTACATAACGAGTATAAACCATGCACTTTTCAAAGTTAAGTATATAATCATCTAACGTGCATATTTTGCCGCCTAAATGCTAACATAATTTGAAGAGTACATCCAAGATATTTAATGATTTCAATTAACAACAGCTTTATTGGATGAATTCCTTAAGTGACAGTAATTCGAAGTGTTCTCAACACGATTTTATTTAATATTTAAGTCATAAATCATATTTCGAATGAAACATGAATTGAAAATCGTTCAAGTAGCTTTTTTATTTTTGATGATATTCGAACAAATAAATTTTAGTGCAAGAAACATCAGAGACTAGTAATATAGATGATAAAATTTAACTTTAAATGTGACTTAGTGGTAACTTAAGGTACACTAATTCCATCAGCTGAAGACCACTTCGTTCCGTAACACTAACCTGATTTTGTAATAAATTATTATACTTTATTTCAGTGCCTGAGCCTCCCTCACAAATTAATGGTTTACGAATTAATCCAAGACAAATAAAAGTCACATGGAATACAATGCCTGTAGGTCCTCTAACAAAACCACAAATACCAATAACTGGATTCCGTATATTCTATTCAACAAACGAAAATACTCAGGATTTGAACACATGGCAAGTTCTAGATGTAGGACCAGTAACGATGGCTACACTTGACCTGTTAGATCCACAGAAAGATTATGTCATAAGAATTAAATCAAGAGGAGCTGACAGGAGATATGGGCGACTGAGCGAAGCCATTCATGTTGGAACTTACAATCCAAATGAACTCACTGGAATGAATAAAGAAAATATAAATATGCCCGGATCAGGACCAGAGGATTTATCGTGTACATGGGTTCAAACACTTGAAACGGCGAAACCAGGAGAAGCAAGTCTGAAGATTGCATGGAAACGTCCTCGACAGCTTGAAGGCCTTTATCAGTTTGAGGTACGTTAGATATGTGTGTATGTATGAATCCTTGCCTTCCCCCTCATATTGATGTTCTTCAGTGCTAATTTCATTAGTGCTGGAGATGTCACATAAAAAGGTATGACTTTTGTAATCAAGATATTATTATTATACGAATTCCCAAATTTGTATGCATAAGACACCTTGCTTTTAGGTCCTCCATTTGAATATTGCTTTGTAATTGTAAACATTTAATCTCTTCCCCTTAGTTATTCCATAAAGCCAGTTAAGAATATATCAGTAGTGCTAAAAATACTTTCGTGTAAATTGTCGTAATTTGAAATATTATTTAATTGCAGATTCAGTTGCTTGGTTCAAAAACTTATACCGATGAACGTAATCATCCACATCGTATCCTATACGAACCGCGATCAGTGGAAGTGACAGTTTCGATGTTGGAACAGTCTTCAACCACCTCTGTGAATACTAATGGTTATATGCCACCTGCCGCAGAAAATTCTCATTATGAATTAGTAATTGATGACCTAGAAGCAAATACTGTATACGACGTACAAATTCGACCTATTTATACAAAACATGCTCAAAGTACAGTCAATGAGATTTCAACCTTAACAGGACGCACAAGCTGCCGCACTCAAATGCTTCGTAAGTCTTCATACGTTTTTATCTACTTAAATAAATCATCAAAGTAACTGGCTAACTTCATGCATTGATATTTATCAGATATGCATAATGCATGTAGATAAAATTGAAACTGTAATTTGAGTAAAGAATAAACTAGGCTTAGAAAATAAATACAATTCGTCCTATTGTTTTTATTCCATTTAAGTAACATTATATCTAGGAAAAATACCTTTTGAGATTGATGAAGACAATTGTTGCTATTACATAAGGTGAAAATTTACTTTGGAAATGTATTTACCTATGTTGAACAAATACTGAGGACAAGTTGTTTTCAACTGTCTAACCTCATTTGACCTTATAGGAAAACACAGCAGAATATTTGAAAGCTGGCTTCTTTTCTCATGAGTCTGTACTTTCCATCTTTGTCAATTTCTACACAATTAATATTCTGAAAGTGGTGTAATATAGCTTAATGTCGATCGCGAGTTCTAAGCGAAAGGAAAACCATCAAACTAGTGTGCTCCATGAAAATTTGTTTCTCTCTTCATTGGTCTAAGTTAGCAACAAAAGTTACCAACCAATTTGTTAAGTACGTCTATTTCTTTCTATTTCATCACAGCCCCCATTACGGTCCCACGACCTATACCAGTCCAAGTGAAACCCGATACAGGACAGGTAGTTATTAGAACATTTCGTGTCTCTGAGAGTCTTGGCCGTATAAGAAGGTACTACTTGGTCCTATACAAAGTCGCACCGACAGAGTCACCAAAAATCACTCCAAGATCAAAGGAATTTAACTGGCCACAAAAGGTAAATAGCATGCCACACTTTTCGCAGGTTATTTTTTAATATATGAAAGAACGATACATGATATGACCCAGTGCAAGTTGGCAGCTCAGATCTAACCTTAGATGATTATGTCATGTTTGTGCTTTTCATGATGAAATATAATCTGTGTATGTTAACTGTTTGTAAATTTAGATCAACATACTGCTTTCCATTTAGTAAAATTTCGGACCCTTACCTTATATTGCCTTTTGGATTACTTTTTTCTTACTTGTCAATATTTTTGGCTTTATTAACTATCCTATTACTCAGTGGACTTATTAAATAATAACAATGTTGTACCATATGACTTGTTTATCCATAGATCGCCATCACAAGCGCCTGAATCCCTATCGTTATGAAAAGGTCAAGTGCTTTCAATATAATGTTAAGTGTTTCGATTTTTTAGCGCCCTTCAGCATAAACTCTTCAAAATTATCTGAACTACTTGAAGTGTCCCATTATGGATAAAATTTATTTTGATAAAATATCAAATTGTTCTACAGTAATACTTACTGATGACCACGTATCGAGCACAATTTATTTCTCATAACCATATCAAGTAACCTGATTATGAGCAATAAATTGTACTCGAAACGTCATCGGTAAATATTACTGTATAACAATGTGAGATTTCATCAGAATAACTTTTTTCCACGATGGAATTATACTCTACCACAGTGCCCAAGTTTTATTCTTATACTTGAAGTGTTATCATATTACCCTTTGGACAAGTGAATAAATCTTTTTTATGTGTAAAACTACTATACTGGTACAAGTAAAATCTCTAGTTGTTTATCAAAAATGAAAATCTCAAGCTTTGCAGTAGCGAAATTCAACTCTTAATCTATTTTTATCAGTAAAGAATCAATATAAAAAAGTAGAAGAAGGGTGTTTTGTCTTTATTAAGTGAAAAGCAACTACATCAGTATCCTTTTGGTGTTTATGTTACTGTTACAATGATGCACTTTATAAAATCAAGAGCACCTATGTAGTTATCCCAGATCTCTATTTACACTTAAAATATCTGCCTAAAAATAAACAATCCAAAGCAGGTATATGGAAAAATTAAGAAGTAAAACAATCCCAAATTTTTGTTTCATTAATACAATAACAACTAAATATGGCTGCAGTTGATAAAACAAGACTTGGATTGTGATTTTCTCCAATTTACTGAAAATTTCTTTCGGATAAATGCTTATGAGGCTGCAAATATCGTAGATATCACTTTTACGGATTTCGGAACAGAAATGAAGAGTCGAAATTGGCTATGTTATCAGTCTGCTAGTTAATCTCATAAACCATTCTATTTTTAAAAATTATGATTGCCGTTGTCAGAACTTATCAGGAAACTATCAGTGTTGAAATTTTTGGTAGTCGCCTGAAAGTAAGCTTATGAGATCATTTCACTTTGTCTTTATAATGGTTATTAGAAACTATTATGTATCATACTTTATTAGCATTGTACTACATATCTGCATTCCAATTTTTGGATGGCTATATTGTTCTCCAGTCTTGAGACACTGAGCCTTTTGTGTCAGCGTACTTCACTAGTATTTATAGCTGGTTGATTTCACATTAATGCTATTAGAGGTTATCATTGCCACCATAATCTCTTTTTTGGGAAACGGAACAATAAAATAACGATAAAATATCAAATTCACAAGAAAATGGAGAGTATTTGCAGGGACAAGACGTTAAAGAAAGTAAATTATTTCTCAGAAACTAATCAGAAGAAGAGAATATAAGTCAGTTACCTCATCACTGTCATTAAAACAGACTGAGGTTATTCTTCAAATTGTTAGAACTTCCAGTTAAATAAGACCAAAAGTTTTAAAAAATTCAAGTAGACACCTGCTATTTATTCTGAATGAACTAGCAATGCGCCGATTGCCTACATTCTAAGATTATTTAATGAAATACATAAGATTTAAAGAACCTGACATTAACTACTAGACAAGAAATTTAGCATCCTAAAACCCAACACATTTCTGGTTTCTACTTTCACTGTGTCTTTTAACTTTCTATGTATCAATATATTCGTTTATTTGTAAAATTAAACGAGAATTAAAAAGTTTTTTATTACATTTTTATGACATTCGCTAAATCTTTTTCGTAAACTGCTTTATCGAAACACAACAGATGGAAAAGCGATATAAACTCAAATATTTTGCATTTAGAAATTTATCTGAATTTCCTATGGAGAAATTTCAAAAAAGGAACAGTGATGTCTACGACATTTAGGTGCACACAGGGCTTTCTTGCACTTAAAATAAAATCAGTGCGATGCTTTCTTTTATTCAGTTTAAACTGAAGTGAGTTATTATCTGATTTGTTTCTTTCTTCTGTGAAGAATGTTATATAATTAGCTAGGTGGCGAATAAAATACTAGCAAAAATTGCACCCAACCACGTTCACACTGTATTCTGTTAACATTTTTATTTGTGTTCTTTTTAACAATGTAACTTATTAGCTTCATGAAGCATCAAACTCCTGGGATCCAAACCTTTTTATTGCGGCCGAATATAGTCAAGAAGCGTTTATTGAACCACATTTGGAAATAGTGTTGAATTTACCAACACCAACGGTTAAACGCTTTAAACGCATGACAGTGAATAAATTGAATTCTACTAGCAGTCGAACTCACCAAATGCAATATGACAAAGCAACTTCTAGTTCACTACCTGAAGTTCTAGTCCATGGAAGACAACTGATTAAAAATCAAAAGTATATGGTAAGTTCAGTTGTTTTTTATCTGTTCCTGTAACTTTTTTCATTCTTATCATAAATTATTAGTCAACATTTGTATCAGTTTCAGAGTGGTAAGACGATATATTCCAAAAATTTACCTTTACACTAAGTGGTTAAATATGCATACCAAGGATACATATGTATATATATCACAGTTGTAACCTCGCCTGTTGAATTTCAGCAATTTGTTTGACATAGTCACAAGTGTATTGCAGTCTTCCGTATTTCTTCAAATACCATCTTAATAGTTTCCTACAATATGAAATTTAATAATACAATACAATAATGCAGTAATAATAGCTTTATTCTGAAAAATGAGTTTATACACAATACAGTATTCTCAGGTAGTCTCACTGCTAAGTTTGTGCTCCTTAATAAGAATCTTCAAATAATATAATAATCCATAATATATCATGTGAAGCAATATACTTCCATCCAAAGTATGATCCAATCCTACTCCAAAATGTTCTTCTGCTGTTTCCTTCCAAAAATTGCTAGCTTTAGGTAGAAATTCACTTGTGATTGTGCGCAAGTATAGATGATAACCCATTGTGGTAATTAGAAGGTTAAAACAGTCTGAAACGGAGTTAAAACGATGTATTTTCATGGGTAGAAAATTTACGTAGATCAGAGAATTAAGTAGGCGACGGTTTGTCTTACTTATTGGTCAACAGGCAAAGATTAAGACCTTTGGTTACAGCTGAAGCCTAAATTCTACTGAGGTAAAACAAAAATTAAATTGCAACAGATTTTTAGTTTGTCTGAATAGTTTGTTAGAGGCTATTCCGATATCGTGAATGCATTTCTGTTTGTTGAATCATTTAAACGAGTCAGCAGAAAGAAATATTTCGTTTTTATCGATAATTGGGGATTTTGAAACACCATTGTTTAAACTTGTCACTTAAAAAAGTAACAAGGCTGAAATGGTTAATAGCGGTCAAGACTATAAACTATTTTCAAGAATTGAAAATTTAGAGAAAATATAGTACGAAATAATCGGAATAGTAATCATATGTGTATTTAAAATAGGAGTTGATCTGTCATATTCCCTTGTAAACTAAGCATTTGCAGGTAAGAATTCAGCTCGCTTTCTTTTGAAAAACCAAAATATTCAAACCACATTATATGATCTGCTTTTACCATAAATAAAGTGAGCGTAACAGCATGATAACTCATACTGTTGCAATAAGTAAATGAAGATCACTCACTTTAACCAGTACTATGTGCTAGCTACATGACCTAAACACTGAGCAGCTGTTTCATTTGTTTGGAGCCCGACACACCACAGGTGTAACTCGACTGACTTATCTTAGAGCAAACAACCCAAAATCTTTGCTGGCGACTAAGATTAACTGCTAACACATTAAACCAAATTTTCGACGCGGTTAGTAACTTATAAATTTTTCGATAACTAACAGAAGATAAAGCCTTCTTTTGGGGTTCTTGTTTGCTGTAAGAAGTACATTAGAATGCTGAAGAAACAATCAGAGAATAAACATGTTAAGATGGAACTGAGGAAAAGATCCATTTGTAAATGGATGATTATGCACTAAATTAATCACTGTAGAAACTGGTTTACCACAGGTAGATTTTCTTTCTTCTCATTGGTGTTTTGTGCACTAATACTTTAAAATAGTACAAGTATGAAAACTGGCCACATAATAACTATTTAGTGCAATAAACAACATTTTGATACTGTCTGTAAACCACCTTCTGTCCATCTTACTCAAGTGGGTTGAAATCTGCAATATGTGTACTTGCAACTGCCTAAAAATGATGGATGATTTTCGAAAACGTACTTTTTTCCTTTTACTGTCGGAAAGTTAGAATGCATTAAGTAATAGGTGGCATTTGTTTCTAATTAAGTGAAACTATCTTCTAAATATCCTGCAATTCTTTATAAATTTTCCTTTCGTAATTCTGCAAACTTGAATTCGTAATGAGTTCAACCTATTCAAAGATACTGGAAGAAACTGTGCTAAAATTAGCTGATTAATTTACCCTTTTCTGCAGTTAACCGGAATAAACGTTTTCGTCAATGGAAATAATTAAATGCATAATATCTATTTTAAGGTTATGAAGATTAATACTACTCATATAAATATGTATATATATTAGCCTACATCTTATTTTTAAAGCATTTTCAAGATGTTGATTAAGAAAACAAAAACGGAAACATATTTGGTTATTTTCACCGCTACCTGTTTATTCTTTATTAATGCTTAAATAGCGACGATAAATGTATTGAATTACAACAGAATTCAGACAGAAAGCACAATAACCAGCTAAAATTAATTTTCACTACAGAAACATTTATAATTGAACTGAATTCAGAAAATCCTGAATAAAACAAATAAATACATGGAAAAGTAAACCACTTATGTCTGTTGATTGTCTATGAGAAAGATGAGTGGATGACTGTCGGGTATACATTGTCCAAAAAAAAGAACTGGGCTTGTTCGACACTGTATTGAATGGTGATCATGCATAGGAAATTCACTTTAAACAGTGAAATGGGTTAATATGGAATTTTCTTAGAATCAGCAGATAAATCACAGTAGATCACGAAAGACATGTTTGCAGTCGTGAATTTAGAATACAGTAAGAAAGATGCATATTATATCTTGAGGTTTATTTGTCATTAGCTTTCTCGTCCATTATATTTTAGTAGCCACATGTGATATGACCGTTAATACACTTGGTAGTTTGCACTAACGAACTTCTTACCTTGTCGATTTGTGAGCCTACTGTTCTAATCAATATCAGCAACGGCAACAACAACAATAGTGCGATACGATACGATACCACCGAACCAGTGATACAAGAAGACAAGACAGACTGTTGACATGTAGAGCTTTTAATGTCTCGAATCAGCAGTTAAAACGTTTGACAGCAATTGCCTATAATTTAAAAAAAACCAACAACCAATAGGGTCATAAGGTCACAGGTTGAGCTGAGGAATACAAACAGCACTCTACTGTAAAGATAAATGTAGGATTTTAGAAAAGTTAGGACTATGTAACAACATTCATGAATCCTTTTGTAATTTCGAAATCCCAGACAATGTGTACATATCCTCTTATTTCTTATTACTCTGAATAATTTTATTATATTGCTTTGGCTCTATTCCAGTGTACTGCATGAACTAGTATTTCTCAGACGATAGTTGTTCACTCAATCCTATTAATTCATGCGGAGATATACGCAGTCAACTCTATGATATATAAATGCCATAAATATGTTATTCTCAATCAGTCTGGTTAAAGTGCATTTCCAAACTCTTCTCGATTTCAATATTACTTATAGTCTGGAATATTTGGTTTTATTGACATCGAACAATAAATTGTTGTGCATAGGTGTGTTCTGAAGTAAACTGTAACAGTGCCTGTATTCGATCACCAGCTTGAAACAATCCCTTCATTACTTGAACTAAATGTTATTGCAAAAGCTACGATTATTGAAATATATTAATCCGAGATCTAAGTAGTGTGGATTTATAATTTGAAAAAATTAAAAGATGAGATTATCTGATAAAATATTCTTTATTTTCTTTAGGTTTGATACTGATAAAAGTGATTTTACCAACTGCCACCCCTATGTTTATCAATTAAAGCCGAATTCGATTCTATGAAAAATAGCTTATTACATTCAACAAGATAAAGCAAGTCATCCAAAACGTGCTTTTCTGAACGATAGTAGTTTAATATATGGGATTTAAAGGTGGACAGTTGATTAAATACCCAATTGCAGTGCTAAGAGTCTTAACGCTAATTAGTTGACATCTTCATTTCGTTAGTATTTTGATGAAAATGAACACATTTTTAAAAATTGAAATGAATTTTCTGCAAACTATTCGGTATGAGGAAAGTAACCACTAACGTTGATTTTTTATGAAAAAAGAAAGTTTGACATATGTACCTTAAATATCACTGTCTGTGCGATTCAAGTAATCACCGCAGTCCACATAAGCACCACCACCAGATTCTATGAATGATTTCTAGCTTCCTGCATTGCTCAGTTACATAAACGGTAGATTTGTAGTAATCATTTAATCTTTCACATCTACTTTACTTACAGTGTAAGACTTCCAGATGGTTAATGTGTAGGTGGTGAATAAAGCAGTACTTAAACGGAACTCAGCGAACCTGCCACGACAATATTCTTCTGTATTCCAATCAAACAGTGATGAGTGCCTGAGAAGTTTAAGTGAAATTAAAGTGGTAATTTTATCCTATATCACAACAATAATAATGTTAACTTTATTCTGAAAAATACATTTATACACAATACAGAATCTTCAGAGCATTTCTTTGCAAGTTATTTAATTCCTTGAGTTGAATCTTCAAGTAATATAATAATTTATAATATATCAAATGAAGTAGTGTTGTTCCATCTTAATCATTCTGTAATACTCCGCTATGATCTTGCTTCATTTCCTTCAGAAGAATCCAAAATGGTTAGTAGAAGCCCATTTGAAAACGGTCTTGTGTAGAAATTGTGATTCATAGACGTAATTGAATGACTAAAACAATGTGAAGTGGAATAAATACAATGCATTTGGTTGAATAGGAAATTCAGGTAGCCCAGCTAACTAAACAGGCCTCTGGTGCAACCTTAACAATATATATCTGAATCTGAATAATAATGTAAGGTTATTTAGCAGTAATAACCACCACTATTAATATACTGCTGTGCAGAAGAAACTGAGCTTTCATGGCTTTCATGCTATACAGACACCTTAATCGCATGGTGAGGTATTTCTCTCTCCTACTCTGATTATTGACTACAATTGTAGTTTGAAAAATGTTTTATTTTGTTCGATTAATAAAGGGCGTGAACCTTCGCTTTTATTCATTTATATAAAATCCAACTTGTGGATAATTGCTTGAATATTCACGCACCTAAAGCATTTGAAATTCTGTTTAAGAATCAATCGAACCTCTTTTCATAGGACTTTTTTACTCTTACTTTCCTAAAACATTCTAAAAGTTTCATATTTAATCATATTGTGTTTACTTTATAGCAAGTAAATTGTATATGGTGGCTGTTTAGATAACATCTGTTGCAGTCAAATTATTTTGATGGCAGAAGTAACGAAAAAAGTTGAATAATATAAACTATGGTGCGATATATATATATGTATCTATATCGATTTCTTCATTTTCATAATATTGACGATAATCTATTGATAGAGATAGTTACAAGATGAAAAATAGTCGGCAGATAACATTTATAAAAAATGAATTCATATCGTTTTGGTCACTTTATTATCCCCAATTTTCTATACTGAACCTTTTTACGAAGCATTATCTTCAAATGGAGTAATGCCGTCTGTTGAATTTGTTACTACGCATTCTTTCGTTGTCATATGCATTCATATGATGATTGTGTCTTTGAATCCTTGCCTTGAATATAGACGAAATGAACTAATTACTTTTGAACTGAAATTTGCATAGAATACAAAGCCATGTGTAACTTTAGATGTCAGGTTGGCTTTTTACGATCCTTCTTTTCGGTAAAGACCTCTCGACGGAATTGTAATCCTCACTTTGAGTACAACTACACTCAGTTGGATTAGTTTGGTCATGATAATCTATGAAATCTAGAGAGTGTGTCTTTTCTTATAAAAAGACAGTTTAGATAAATCTAAATAAACTTGATGTTATTTAGTGGAATTCAGGATGCGCGTTTCGTCTGTTTGATACCCCTCATATGGATGTGACCGTAATTGCCAGTAAATGATGCTGATCCCATTGAAACTAGAAACTACCGCCTATCGGGAATCCAGAACACAAGTTCCAATAGGACGGAATACACATCCTGGATCCCAGCGCTAGTCACCATTCAACAAACGTCATATTAATCCACAGAAAACATCGAGGCATCCGTTCTAGGGGCTGACATGTCAGCAAAAACCGAATATTCCCCTCTAATATAATCAACCAACAGAAAATACAAAATTCACTTAAATAAGTAATCTAAAATACAACTAAATGTCACTTAGTAAATATTACACAGATAAAACTGAAAATCATGTCATTATAGTACATTTATTCATATGTAGTATTTCAAGGCAAATTGCACTTGAAATGTTTTGAGTATGGCTGAACTATAACCATGAATAATTTACTTTTCAGATCAGCTTTCATTTTGGAATTAAGAAAGTAAATGTTTATAAGAAAAGTAAGCCATTAGGATAAATAAACGTAAACTTGCAAACAAAAATCTAGACATAAACAATCCACTGGTATAGTAGAAAATAGGGGTTGCCTTTTTGATGTTCTATCAACAACCGTTTTTCATGTACTTTAGTGTTTAAACTTATGATATTTTGCTAATAAGCTTGACTTCTAGCTGAAGAAAGTTAAAACGTGTGACATTATAAAATGTTTTCTTTATATCATAAAAAGTATGTATATCACCTTTTCACCCTAATAAAAGTACAGTTTATAATTTCAACTAATTGTATTTTTTTACATCACGTTTCTACATTTTAGGCATTTGTCCTAGCATGTATTTATCCAAATATGTTGCCTCTAGGAGGAAACACAAATCATATATTACTGGATTCAAATTCATTAGATTATAACAGAGGACAGACTTTAGAAGATGAAGAGAATCTTACCACAGATCTTTGTACGCCAAGTTTATGGTCAGTAGACTTTCAACCTGATCAGGCAATATCGTATACAGATAAACAAATTGGTGACATGTATGCTAGTGAACCAAAGGAAAATGATGTCCGCCAGAACAGTGCTATGCAAATATCGAATTCAAATACGCAAAGTGAATTTTTCGCTAAATTAGCTGGCAGTACAGACTTTTTCACTATTACACTGATTGTCGTCATTGCAAGTCTTAGCATACTAGCCACAGTTTGCACTGCTGTAGGATGCTTTTTGAGGTTAGTTGCTGACAGTTAAACCTATCTTTTTATCAGTTGATTTTTAATATCATAAATTTACACAATTTTTCCCATTAAGTCGACATTTTATTGTCAATATGCAAATTATATACATTTTTCGAAATGATAACTTAGTGGTAGCTTATATGTACATGTTACCAATAAAACGATATAAAACAAAGAATAAGAGTTATTAAAGAACAAATTCTTATCATTTTCTTTTCTTTTGCATCTTTTATCCAAATGGTTCACATACTTTTGTGCCTACAGTAGATATAATAATTTACATGTTTTGGCAGTTTAGTCTACACGACATAAAGATTTGAAACCTAATATATGTATAGATATGAAATTCGCGAAATGTGGTTAAACATAATTCCATGCGAAATAAGGTTATTTTACATGATCCTTAGTGAAACATTACTGATGACTGAATTCAATCTCATGCCTGATGGCAGGTAGTTTCGTGACGATTTTGAGGATTTGTTCTCTTGAACAGAGTCCACTGAGTTGTTCTCCTGGTGGTTTCAACTTTCTCGCTGTAGCCAGAAAGCGTGTATGAAGATATTTAGAAAATTATTGTATTTCTCAGACATGGATTGTTAAAAATGCAATGATCTGTAGATCGTGCTTCCCTTTGTGATAGTCGTGTGAGTTTATTGATTCACCTTTGAACAGGAAGTTCATACTTATAAGTGATGCAATTTTAGAATCTAGGCACTGTGGTAGAACACAATGCTAAATTAGATAAGTTTATTTTGATAGAACACACACTTATGCAGTATTCATAACTGGATATCAAAGCTGTGTCATTGTGTTATGTAAAATGAATTTATCTAGAGTGGAAGAATTATGATGTTAACAAAAAATAATACATTTATTCCTCTTTATGAACAATAATAACAATAAAATAATACATCTATCATTCATGGATAGAACTATTCACTTACGGTATTAAGTTTCATGAACCATGTTTTTGCCAACAGAATTTGGATTTAATCTTTTTTCTAATCACTAGATAAGCTGTAGTATATAGAAATACTAAGTAGTAATCTCACAGTATGTCATGCAGAATGATATGAACAAGAATCCCACACACAAACTTAGACATTCAAGTTATGATATAAACAAAACGTGAATTCAATGCTTTGTCATCGTTACAGTAACTTAACCAAATTACTGCTAAGAAATTCCCTGTTAACCACGTTAACTTCTACAGTAGTTTTATTTCTTGGATGTCACATAGCTAGTAATTTTAGAAAGATATAGTTTATCGTAAAGATTGGTTATACAATTTATGTATACATTAGAAATACGACAGCTAAAAACAGTGTTTTTTAATTGGCACATAGATTACAGCTGGTAAAATGGTGCAAGTCGGCTTCAGTTTTAAGTTCTGAAAAGGATGAATAACAGTTTGAATCCTGCACTTAATTTGCAAAGAATTATTCTGATTTAGGTTTAACCATTGCTTATATCAAACCGAAAAGTATTTTCACACTCAGATTGAATCAAGGACCTTAAATAGTTACTTAGATAGTCACTCTAAGCAAGTGGATTTTATTATTCCTCAGCTTTACAAAAGTGATGAAGGAATTTGGTGTAGACTCATACTTTTACATTTTGGTTCAAGTAATTAGTTTGTTGAACTAAAATTATGGTTAAGTTGCATTTTAATCCATAATTTCAGCCATTTCCTAAGATATGCAACGTGAATGATCTCCACTCAATTCAAAACAGTTAATATTTAAGCTATTTGAACATGGATTGCCGACAAACGAAATGATGGTGTAGGCGATGGCTTTATATCTTGTATTAAAAACTAGTTACAAAATTCTTCTATAACTGTGGTAGATGTTTTACAGTCTTTGAATAAAAAATATTATTAAACATATCCTTGTTTTATAGAAAACGTCGAACAAAACCTATGGATAATGACATGTCAATAACATTAACCCCATCAGATGGCATGTTAAAAACACCTCTGATGCCTCAATCAGTTCAGAATTTTTCAGGAGCCAACGGTGCTGTTGAACACGATCAAATGGATCCTGAAACACCAGGTAAGTTATATTTCTCTTTTTTTATATTATTGGTATCATAGTTATGAATGTCTATAGAAGCTGTGAAACTGGAATGTACTTCCGTTACATTTTACTTAAACTTGTTATGTGTATTATCACTGATGCACTCTTCAGAGGCAAATTAGCTTACAGTTTGAAACTAGAATATATCTCTTAGATGCAACGTTCCTATTATATGTTGGATCTAGTGGAATCTTTGTGGCTTTATTCATTATGTCTGACATGTGATATGAAGATATACAGCTGACTAAATATGTCTTGGCATCACTCATATACACAAGTCTAAATCCTGAATAGGTACTATTTAATGCCTTACACAGTCAAATCGAACAGGGAATATGGATGACCCCTGGTAGTCAAACGTTTTAATTATTTTTATTTATCCCTATATTCATTTATTAATTGCAAATCTCCCACTGTTGTGGTTTTTTGGATTACAGATGTTGTTCCACCGGTCAGTTATAAGATAAGTAAGTTTGTGACAAATTTTTCTGTAACTTCTGAAAGTAGTTGATTCTTTTGCAAATAATGGTGAAATGATATTTAAGTATTTTAAAGTAGTGAGGCAATTTTATCAATGGCTTTCATCTACAAATAACGTAATTTTAAAAGTAACTTGGGACAGTGCCTACAGTGAACTATGTGACTGCCTTGGTGGGATGAATCAGTTTTCATTAAAGGGTCACAAATAATAGTTCTACAGCCTCTCCATAGTTGTACAGCTTCATTTTTAGCAAAACATGATTCTTGTTTCAATGCTTTCGACTTTGAAAACAAGTAGTGTGAGCGTATTCTATTATGAAAAATGTTTGATTTCCTCCTATCCACTAAACATTGAGCTAGAAACAAGCGAAAAATGGAACATAAAACTAACTTTGTACATTCAAACAAATCACACTGGATAAGGATTTGTTTACATAAGTCTCTTCCACAATAAAAATTTATTTCGTCAAATATTTAAACTTACTAATGAGTCTTTTCATGTTGCATATTCATTTAGTTTCCCACACTGTCCCACCTTTCTGACTTACTGTTTAATTATAATACTTATCACATTGATTTTTCTGACTCTTCCTACCTTTCATTCACGAGTACATACTAATTTCTGTTAACAAAAAAGATGTGACTGAAAATGAGGTTTAAAAACATTCACTTCATACTTTCGAAAAACACTGGACTGAATCCTCGTATCTAGAATAATTATTTTGGATGAACTGAATCACTGAAAGCAAATAAAATCAAACCAGAACTCATCAGACAATGACAGTATTTAGGAAAGTACTAAATTCAGCAACAGTAAAGTAAGAAAAATATGTTAAAACTACAGTAAGATGAAATGGCTGAATTTATCTTGTCTGTGGGTACAGTTGAACTCATTATTGGTTTGTGACGAAAACATTCCAAAAACTAAACAATGTAATAATTGCAGTCTTTTTAAGGTTTTAGCTTTTATGAACGATAATTTATTTGTCTCAGAAACTGTAGGAACTATTTTCCTAATAAATCTTGAAAAAATAATAAATTGTAAGTTACTTACACCCTCTCATCCTAATTTATTTATTTGAAAAATTAAGAGAGAATACTGACTACCAAGTGATGACTCTATCACATCTAAAGCTTACCTAGTTAGTTGATACTATTAAATATTAGACCTATCTGTCGAACAGATATTCGTTGTAGGACACTATTTTAAAATTTTGCGTAAATGCAAGACTTGCTTATTAGTCTGAAATTTGAAAACGCACTATAAATTTCCTGACTTCAGTTTATAAATGATTCTTAGTTGTCGGAATTAAGCTGTCCCTTAAAAAATTACGTTTACCTTCAGTATTTCTAGAAGGATTCGCATCACTAATATACAACTCCGTGGCATTTTCGTCCTATATTCTAGACCAATGTTATAATAATGCATTCTAAGTGTTTGTATTAGTCGAAACAACTTACCGAGTATCAAGTGATTTCAATGGAATTCTGAGGCCAATACTTTCCCAGAATTCACATCTTTTGTTTACTCTTATTCTTATAACATTACTATCAGCTTACCAGCTTTTAAATGTATCATAGCACCCCATGTTCAACATTTCCACTGGTCTGCAAAGAGCAGAACAAAGATCAGATGTTTGTAAGATTCCATTGTTGTTATTTCGACAAGTACCATTTGAAATAACAACTTGACTTATAAATTGTTATAAATTTGTAGTGTGCTGTAATGAAAGAAAAAGCACACCATAAGACTGCAGGACTTTACGCAACACTTAATGATTACTTGTAACGTATTCTTTCTCAACTCTTCATTAATGCGCAAAAAGGTGAGCATACTACTTTATCTGCCACCAGCGAATAGCATAGAGAAACAAAAAGTCATATAGATGAAAGAATAGAAAATCTCACATTAAAGTGCTCCGAAATTTTAGTCTAGCAATATATACATATATATGCATTCAAATGCAAAATGAATTAACTTCCTTCAAATGTATACATTAATATTAGTCCTAATACAAAATGAAGAGTGAAAGACAGTAGTTATAAAAACGTTGGTACTTTTTTACGCATGCGTTTTTTAAAAATAAATTTGCACCCAGGGGATCTCATGTTCGTTTATGATATTTTTTTATCTATGAGCTTTGTACAGTTTAAAATCATTTTTCATTTTTTTTAAAAGTTCTGCTATTACAGCTCGTTCAACTATTTATTCTTCTAAATATAAATATAACCACAAAAGTTATTAAAAGATGAAAATGGGCATAGAAAGATAAAGTGTGTGTGTGTGTTCGTGTGTAAGGACCTTAAGGCACATGAATGAGATTCCCTGTTGTTTATTTCACCTTAGATTAACTTTTAAAATAGTGCTGTATAACTGCAGCATCATTAAGTTTTCAAAAATTATTTCATAAAAATTACGTAAAAATAAACTTGTAAATTTAAAGTATAAAAGAATTAATTTTATTGTAAACAATGAAAATCTCAGCGTAATGAAACAGAAATTTATGAAGGACAGATAAGATGCACTTTATCTGTTTCCTGAAATGGAAGTTAGATTTTAAATGATTACTTAGCTGAAAGTGTGTAAAAGGAAAAATTCAACCATGCGAGTACTTGAGACTGAATGATCATGTGTTAACTGGAAGTATGTGATTCTGTTTTGTTCTTCGTGACCCTCATTAACTTTAATAGTGTTGTCAGTCTGAGACAGTGTTTAATCAAAATTCTATCTCTTCCCTATATGATTCACATTCTATGCCTTTTACTAATTTAACTAGATAATTCGAAGGGATTTTATGCTTTTATCTGTAGATTTCACTTAAATCTCAGGATATGTTTGTGACTATCCACCATTATTCTAATATTTTTGATGTTTATATGGTAAATAAGAATTTAAGACAGTTTGGGTACTTTTTAAGTTACCTTGACCAGAATCGAGTTTTCCACCTATGACTCAGAAACAAAAAGTTATTTAAAAGAAAATGTACATTAGTTAAAATAATTCTTTTATTACAAAAACACTCATAGAAAGTTAGCTGGATCGTTGGTCTAAAAGATGTGTCGAGTAAGTGATATGAAGTGCGTAGAGAATAAAACTAATATAAGATAAGTGGAGAACGATATACAAATATAGTAGTTCCAAAAATATTTCAGAGTAAAAGCTATGTGGACCATGACTGGAAGTTTTGCATTCAGCAAATAAAATGAAGAATCTATTAGCTGATTTACGTATTCTGTAAAAAGGAAAGTAAAGGATATGAAGAAAACGTACCAGTGCTGTTCGAAAATACCTCTTATTGTTAACTGTACAATAAGAGAAAAGTAACGCTATTCGCAAAATTATGAGGGATACAAGTGTAGCATTTATAAAGTCAAAGACTTTGTAAATCCTGAATTATTCTACAATATACTCTGTAGGTAGTATGGCTTAGTGGTGAAATCCACTTAATGACAACTTCTCGCTCGGTGTATATTTGTTCTGGAATTTAGCTTATCTTGTTGTCACCTCACAAAGCACAGAATTTCTTTATAACTTTCTTTATAATGTTGTTTTCTAGCTTACTATTTATATTTTCTTTTCTTGGAATAAACTTCTCAAGATAATCCTACGCCGATTCATACGCCAGTACGTTCTGCCATACCGATCTCACGTTTACCAGAACATGTAGCTATGCTCAAACGTGACAGTGGAATAGCTATATCAGATGAATATGAAAGTATTGAAACACGGACAGATTTAACCTGGAAACATGCCAACTTGGAGGAGAACAGACCGAAAAATCGCTATGCTAATGTGATTGCCTATGATCAGTCACGTGTCATTTTAAGTGAAATAGGTCACGTTCCTGGTTCTGACTATATTAATGCGAATTTCATTGATGGATATCAAAAGAAAAATGCTTATATTGCAACTCAGGTCAGTGCTGATTTCTCCGCTTTGGTAAAAACTTGTGTGAATAACCAATAATAGAACAAGTTGAACAGATATATATCCATGATAAACCATGTAAAACAGATAAATAGTTCAGTGTTTTTGTTATATTTGGACTTTTTTGATGTATAATTCTGACATAGAGATATGTTGACTTAAATTTGAAATGTTATTTATGTTAGTTATTCACTTTTTAAATCCGAACTTATATCACCTAGGTTCACTGGAAAAAATCAATATTCTCAGACAGAAGCATTTCATTAAATAATGCTTTGAGGGAATAAATTTGTCTTTGTGTTTGTCCTCAATTTCTTACAATGTCTTGAGATGTAACAGTTTCTAAAGCTCTTACTACAACTCTAGATCATTCTGAAATTAACCGATAAGCCAACATTCCAAACTAATTACAACTTTTAGGAAAGTAGTTTAAAGGAGACACACAATAGTGTTTCAAGGAGGTATTTAAAACTCCTTAGTGGATATTCAGTGGAACCATAACAGGTCGCTATTCGGGAATTTAAACCATCTGACTTTTTATCACCAGAAAGATGAGGTGTATGTGGACAGAATTTCTCTGGAAGCTCAATTCCATGAAAACAGTTACCACTGTTTACTGAAACTTAAATTTAGGGTACAAAAGTTTCTTGAATAAATTTCATTTAAAAATGAATCCCTGTAAAATCCAAATATTTCAAAGGTAACTAATAACATTACCATGTCTAAGTATTCTGGTAGAGTAACTGCATTTAGAGCAGAAAAAGGCGTTTAATTTCTGTAACAAATGAATGACCATAAAAGCAACAGTGAACGTGGACGGCTGCTAGCCATTCGGAGAAAGCTTACCTAACTAAATAATACAAATTTAAGTGATTAACAATACACTAATCTTTTTTAAACACAAGGCGACTGAAATTCTTCATAAACTACTGTATTTTCAGCGGAATATTAAAAAATTCAGTTTTACACAGTGACATATCTAAGATGCATTCACCGATAGATATTACAGACTATATTAATTGCCTGTTTTATTTCATTATCTCATTAACATGACCCATCAAATGTCAGGCTGAATTCCATACTGTTGTATTGATTTGAAGGAACAATGTAGTAATGTTCCCAAATAAAATAAATAGGCACTTGTTTATTTGCCAAGTTCTGAAAGTCACATCTTGGAGGCTGAAAGCTGATCGACATAAAAAGACAACTGTTGACTTAGTAATAATCATTTTTATAGTGTCAGAAATCTTGTGTGAGTAAGGCTTTATCGCATACTTTCAATCATGAACATTAGTCTCTGAAAAAATCTATTCTTTGTATTTCCATTCATTTAGGGTCCATTGCCAGGAACATTTTATGATTTTTGGCGAATGGTTTGGGAACAAAATAGCCGCGTGATTGTTATGATGACACGTCTTGAAGAACGGGCACGCATAAAATGCGACCAGTACTGGCCTAATAGGGGAAGAGAAATATTCACTTACCAACAGCAGCAACAATGTCAACAACAAGAACATAATACTAAAACAAATTATGATATTAATTATGCCTCAGTGCCTACATATACTGTAATTACAAAAGATATACAGGAATTTGCATATTATACATTACGTACATTTACCTTACAACGTAATAATGAGACTAATTTGATGGATCCTGAATCGAGTGGTCTGAATCAACATCATCGTGTTATTGATCCAAATTCCAGTGTTGAAGAAAGAGAGATAAAACAGTTTCAATTCACAGCCTGGCCTGACTATGGCACACCAGATTACCCTCAACCATTATTATTGTTTATACGACGTGTCAGCCAAATACGTTCTCATCTCATCCATCAGATGCAGCAAGAACGTTTAATCAACGATGAGAAACATAACTCAAGAGATTTAAAATTAACACAACCGAATGATACTCGTAACTCTTTGAACTTAAATTTATCTGATGAAATAGGACCATTAATTGTACATTGTTCAGCTGGAGTTGGACGCACAGGTAATAGCTGTTTCTTTCTTTTCTATATTTTCCACCCTGTCTTAATTATTTTATCATGCATTTAACGCAGTGTATAACTTTTGTGTCGTAAATTATTCTATTAGTTAAGCAGGTCATTTGAAAAATAGTGAAATCTTTATCGTATTTTTTAAAAGGAACTCATATTGGATTTTTTAAACGACCTACACTGCTACTGAATACGCGGAAAAATTATTTCAACTTACTGACAAGTGGAAAGTTGAATTGTCAGTGAACTCGTTTTATAGGTTAATAAAAATACGATTTTCTAACTAGGAAATCAGACACCACTTCATGGCTTTAATCAGTCCTTATTGATTAGGCCTGATTTTAGCTATTATTGAACTAATACAGAGAAAATATAGCAAAATAATACGAAATGAGTTGCAAGAGAAAAATAAGTGTACAAGGAAAGCAAATCTTATTATGAAGAAATAAGTCTGATTACATGAACTCCAAACCTTTAGCTTTCCGTCTCATTATAATAAACACGCTAAGTTTTCGTCTGGTGAATTCGCTTCATCGTGGCATTTTGGTAATAACTGATAATTTGTATGAGTAAAAGGAATAACCTCATTGAAGTTTTTAATAGAGAGGACTCATTCTGTAGATTTCCTTATTGAAGACATTTCTTTCCCACCAAAAATACAAATAATGCAATGGAATAAATTAGCGAAGAAAAATGAAGTATGAAGTGTCATTAGGCAAATCTACAATACTTCGAATAATATTGAGAATGAATTCATATGTGTTCAAGGGCCATATTATGACTAGTTTTAACCGAATATTTAAAACAATATTTCCACCCTATTTTAAAAGAGCGAATCACTGCGAATTTTGAGGTTTGATTGAATTTTTGTTTAAATTGCCTCTTAGTTTATTAGTCTTCTTTAGATTAAATTAATTTCAAGTATTGTTAAAAGCATGGTTATAACACTTTTTTTATCACTTCTGAGCATTTTGAAGCTTATTTAAAATGTAACCCATGTTAATGCCAAAACAATAAGTCTGATCAATCAAACTATTACACAAAATTTGTACTGCCAGTTGCATTTACCTACCCGAAAGGTATTCAATGATGTACTAGTTGCCAATACAATATGTAATATGAATGTCATTATGCAATATGTATATATATATATGTATATAGAAACGGTAAGCACATGGAAGGATAAGCTGCATAGAAATAGATTCCCACCAATTTGAAACATTGTGATTGTAAAGTACTGTAGTTAAACAAAACCTTAACAGTTTGTCTTACCGTTATTTTCACTACAATAACATTTTCAGGTGCATTCATTGTGATTGATTCACAACTCGAACGACTCAAGCATGAGAATTCCGTCGATATTTTCGGTGCAGTGTGTCGAATGCGAGCTCAAAGGAATTTTATGGTTCAAACAGAAGAACAGTATGCATTTCTGTATGATGTTTTCGTAGAAGCAGCTGAAGTACATGGCACTGAAGTTACAGCACACGGACTATATAATCATGTTGTAAAACTTCGTCAACCTGTTCCGACTTGTGTATTAGCGCGCTATAATTTGCTACCCAATGGTTTGCAAGAGGAATATTTTAACAGTGTTAATATAAATAACAATCAGTTGGCATCATCGATAAAAATTTCAAGTTTAGAACTGGAATTTAAGGTGAGTGGTACATATTCATATTCCTATAGCATGAAAGATTTGAACCATGTTTCATATTTTATAAATATCAAGATCATAGATACTGCTAGAGCGAAGAAATAGTTTGAGCTCCTAGTCTAACTAAGTCATTTCACGGTTTTCAAAAAAATTCCAAAGTATTTAGAAAAGCCTATCTAGGTTTTTCTAAACGTTTTACTGTGTAAACCACAGCTTTTTAGAAGAATTATTCAGATTTTGCCAAAGATTACCACCATTCATACCTAGCAAGTGTGCGAAAATACTCAATCTCAAAATTTTAATTAGCTCTGCTAAAGAAGCTGTGGTTTACATAGCTGAAATTTCAGATATTGGTTTCCTAACACTCTTACATTATCTTGGAATTATTTCATTACGGCTTTGCAGTTAGTTTTCGTATGAATTAACTTATCTAGTGATATCTCCTAAAGTGATAGAGATACGACCTACCAAAGATGTGTCATATCGAGCGGATTTGCAGATGAGCTTTCCTTATGTGAGACAGCAGCAACCGAATCTAATTCTTATATGTCCAATCATCTAATGACACTCACTTTTGCTCTGCAGAATACTACATGCATTTTAAATGGGTTAAGTTATGGGCGTTTATGTGACTGAAGAAACCGTAAAAATTTATTGGATCCATTTTACTTTTGCAGGTATAGTAGTTTTTAATTCTGATGTTGTACGATATTGTAAAGAATATGAAACTGCGGAGAATAAGACGTTGGATGAGAACTATACATAGTTACAGTTACAGCTTAATCGAAGTCTTGATCGATCTTTTTTATTTTCTGCAAGAGTCAAAAGAATTTTGTAAAATGTATTTCTGTTTATAGCTAGAATACTTCCTGAAGTGCTTTTCTTCGAAACCTACTCTGGGCTCTATTCGTGTTATGTGAACACCAGTTTCACTTTTCACTAGATACTCATGTTTTGACCACCTAAATTAAGCTGTTGTTCTGGGTTTCAACATCGTTAAATTAACCTCTATTTCAGATGACCACTACGAACGTCTAACTGAAGCATTTCGCAATTTAAGGATTGCACAGGTTGTCGAACCATGAACAAATTGAGAGCCAACGTGATTTGTTTAAAGGTATTTTGTTCAAGCTATCCAAACTCTTCGTTTTCTATCACAACCAGCATGTAAGGGAGTGGTGATTTGAGTTTCGATGAAGTCTTCATTGTCGCATAACTCATAGAATTAGTTTTGGAGCCACTTGCATTATGCTATGCTACCGAATAGACGAAACAGCGATAAATTGTTTTGTAACTATGTATTTGCATCTATTTTGATGAGGCGAAGTTAGGTGAAAATCAATTAATATCACTGCTTACTCAACTATAGATCAGTCATTCAATTAAAAAGTGCCGAATCGATGGACAATTCTTTCATTTAAAATGTCAGTGTTTAATTTAACACAGAATCAACTTTATGAGTTTTTTTCACAATAATTTTTAGAGATTGAATCGTAATTTACTTAACAAGCGCCAAATATCTACAGCATTAACAAACGAAAATCGAATGAAAAATCGCGATGCAGACGTACTGCCTTATGAATCCAATCGTGTGTGTTTACCAGTAATACGTGGAATAACTGGGTCAGACTATATCAATGCAAGTTATATTGACGGATATCGTAAGAACCGGGCCTATATTGCAACGCAGACGCCTCTACCAAGTACAGTCGATGACTTCTGGAGATTAATCTGGGAATGCAATTCGCCCATTATAGTGGCATTTTGTGACAATCGAGATGCTAACTTAGTACCAGCAGACGTTAATCAGTACTGGCCAAGTAACAGGTCAACGAGATATCAGAAAATAATGGTTGAGCCTATGGTTGAATATAATATGCCACATTTCATACTACGTGAATTTAGACTCACTGATACAACAGATGGTCAGTCACGAACTTTACGACAATTTCAACTCCATGGATGGCCAAACGACAGCATAGTACCGAAATCAGCCGAGGCAATTATTGATTTGATTGGACAAGTACATAAAACTCAAACTCAGTTTGGACAAGATGGTCCTATAACTGTTCATTGCAAGTAAGTAGCTTTGCATTACTTTACACATTTAGCTTTTTAAAATCTACGCTTATTTTTTCTGCTAACAAAGTTGTACTGCGTTTTCTAATAGCAAGATAAAACGCACTTTAAAGTGATCTTAGGACCCCTGTAAATTTTCAAAAACTTTCATGTAAATGAAACGTTTTTGTAGGAGTAGAACCTGTGAATTTTTTTAGACTATTAATTATGGAGCAATAAATCATGGATGAAATATCATCATTAAATTGAATTAACTTGTAAAGTTGGCTTACGAAGAAAATTATCAGTCACCTTATGATTGTTAGAATTTCAAATAACTTTCAAGGTTTCAAATTGTCGTGGTTCGGCAGTCAAACCGGGCTAACCCAATTTACCACTGTTTTAACACGGGTTGTAGGATCATGGAGTCAATGTTATATCCAGTCAAATGTTATAGTCATATGCTAAAAGCCAAGAGATAGAATTTATACATATATATATATATAATTATTTATTAATGTACACATGCAATGATGTCATACACTTTAGTATTTTTGCTTCTAACTATTGTCAGTCAGTAACATTAGTTGTACTGCAATGGGTTACTACCAAATAATTTTGTGCAAATATTTAAAGAAAAATCATACTACAGTAATTTAAAATGGGACTCAATATATTAAAATATGTGGTAATTTCCGAATTCCCATTTATGCATTTAGAAAAAAACAAAAGATTGAGCGGAGAAATATATTTCTTTACAGTTTTTATTTATTATTTTGATTATAGCTATTTTCGGTACAAGCATGAAATTTTCAACATGTGATATCGGTAGCTCAAATTTTGCAGGCCGACCATCGATATCAGGTGTGCGTCGGCAGGTAATCGAACTCCAGACCATGTGCATGGTGGACGAGTGTCCTAACCGCTGTGCCACCAACGCACAGACACAATTAGTTCCTCGTCATCAGCTCTACACCAATATATAGCTTTTTACATCAAAACATTTTACCAGTCAAATGGCTATTTCAGTTAATCAGTTTTAGGTATAGGGGGGAGGTGAAATTAAAGGGTTAAAAGTCATCAAAACAAATAACTAATATATGTTAGTAACAAGATATCTAAGTTTTAAAATTAATTACGGAATTCAAGATAAAAAATATCCCCATTTAGACATTTGAGAAAACAGAAAGATTGAGCGAAGAAATATTTACTTTTCAATTAGATATTGAAAAGTAAAATTGAAAAGTAAAAGTCTAATTGAAAAGTAAATATTTCTTCGCTCAATCTTTCTGTTTTCTCAAATTCAAGATAAGTTGATTATTAGGCGTTGGAGACAAGTTATTACATAATCAAGAAATTCGTAAAATAGCACTGATGACTAAGAAGAACAGGATGACTCAGAAGAGTTACGTAAAATACAAACAAGTTAATAGAATTAGCTAGAATTGTAAAAATTAACAAAGTCAAAAGATATTTACAAGGGGAGGGGAAAAATTGTTTCTAAAAACTTAATACATATTATGTAGTTGGCCATAACAAAGAAAGAGGCTGTACACATTTCTTTTGACCACATAGATTGTCTTGTTCAGATGAATTTCGATTGCCTCTGCTGTATGTAAAAGTCGTATTCGTAGACCACGCGAGAGGTTAAGTGATACACGATAATTAACTTTGAAAGCTTAGTTAGAGTCGATTTGATGTCCCGTATGGACGAGATGATTAACCGATTAACTAAAATAAACATTTGACTGGAAAAATTTTTGATGTCAAAAACTATATTAGTGTAGAGCCAATGACGAGGAGCTAATCGAAACAGAATATATCTCTTCGCTCAATCTGTTGTTTTTTCTAAATATGCGGTAATGTTTGTTGTCCAATTCTCAGTGGTGCTGACTAATTTCGATCAGTCGAGCTTGTAATATGTTCCTTAAGCTAGAAAATTCAATATCTCAGTGAACTTTGACTATGTAACAATAACTGAAATGTAATTGACAGCAAGCCTCGGAACTAGGTTTCACGCTTATGGGCACTCATCACAAAAGTGTGTGTGCAGCCTTGAAAGAATTGGTATCCCATTCAAAGGTAATGTCCCTAACAGCAGCACTGGTTGAATCTACAAGGAAGTATCATTTCCTTCAAGTTAGCAAATAAACCTTGCCTATGAGTACTGATAAGGTTGAAATTTAGTTTCAAGGCTTTCTGTCACGTCTTTAATCATCTAATAAAGAATAAATATGTAATAATTGTAAGGTCACAACAGTTTTTTCTTTTTGAACGTTTTCATGTAATCCATCATATTTATTCAAATAAGAGAAATTGACCTAGTGTGCATTTAATATCTCAATATCAGTTAAATACTATAATTTTCATTACTGATTAATTTACTTCCTAATCATTTTGTTCTGCATATATTAATAGTTCTGGGTCGGGAAGAACTGGTGTATTTATATGCTTAAGTCTTTTATTAGACAGGATGAGGTGTGAAGGTATGGTTGACATGTTTTTAATTACACGTATGCTACGTACACAACGAATAAATACCATACAGACATCTGATCAATATGCATTCTGCTATGCAGCTACTCTTGAATATTTAGCTTCGTTTGACCATTACATGAGTTAGTAATTACACACATAGTCGTGTTCAGCTTCACAGTCACAAATTATAATTTGCAATTCCAACTCTCTGTAAATACTTTCTTTCTCAAACGTTGTGCATATGCTGTTAGACAGTCTAAAAATTACAGGAATGATGTTATGAAACAGAAGGACAACAAGAAAATGCATTTATCACCTGAAACTAATTGAACAAAATTTTGTACTGAAAGTTTTTCCCGTTTATTGTGAAAAAAATTGAAATCAGCAAGTCTTCACTTTAAATAGAATTATACACAATACACTTTTATTTATTTATCTATTTATTTATATACACACATGTATTTATCATTTATATGTAAATTAATTATTTTCCCTGGATGGAATATGCATTTTAAATTCTCCGGATTTCTAAATTTTGTGATATAAACTTGTTGGTTTCGTCCAGTCTTTGCTTTCCTTTAAAATTTGTCTTTTTACACATACCAGCAAGTTTCTTTTTGTATTTTTCCAGTTTTACTTCTTGTTCTTGTTTCTTCTTTATGTTTTCAAAGACTTAGGCCTAATGAAACTAATACTATGATAATGTATGCACCATTTTCAGAAATAATATCCATGTGTACAAGTCTATTCATATAAATGAATAATTAAATTTTGTCTGTTCCTTAGTAGAATTCACATATAAGTGTACTGATAACTGCTAATCGTAAAACCTAAATATGATTTTTGTACCACTTCAAGTTTGTCAGACAAATAAATATAATGCATTCCACATAGTGTTGCTGTCTTCAGTGAAAGCTCATTGTATTTTCGAAAATATTCATTATATTATATGTTTTTATCCCTTTACCATAGGACAAAGCTGATATACCTGTTTACCATTCGAACTATCTAAGGATGACATTGTTTAATCGTGAAAATTTTGAAGAAAACATTCAAAAAAGGGTATTAACTCGCTTGTGAGGTATGATTTAACATGCCTGAAAGTTTCAGTCATTAAACATAATTCTCGCAGGACGTAACAGTTTAAATAACACCTCGCCATTAGAAAGGTTTTAAACTAGGAGGGAAATAGCTAATCAGAATAAAGGTGTATTCATCTACCCAAAAGTTTCACTCCCTAGTTTCTCCCTAGTAGTTCCGAGAACCTAACTGAAAGTGGTTTACAGAAATACTATGCGTCGGTGGCACAGTGGTTAGGACTCTCGCCGACCATGCACGCGGTCCAGGGTTCGATCCCCTGCCGACGCACACCCGATATCTATGGTCGGCCTGTAAATTTGGGCTACCGATATCCATGCTGAAAATTCCATACTTGTACTGAAAATACGGTGTGGCATCAAGCTGTAATCAAAATAAAAAAATAAAAATAAGCCCAGCCTCTTTTTGTTATTCATTTCAATCGAATAACTTTTCCACTGAATTTACATATTCCTCAAATGAAAGTTCTAAGAAATTTCTTATGAATCTTCAATTCATAGATCCGTTTTTAATGTAGTGAAACAAAAATTTTGCCATACATATAACCAAATCCTAAACTTCTACTAAACATGGACTATTAATTGTTCAGTAGCATTTGAATGAGCTGTGCATTCCTTCATACGTGAGGTAATGTATTATTGTATGAGAAATTTATCTCACCTACTCAGACACTGACTATTTCTGTATTTTAGCAAATTTTCTAGTATTTTTAGTAAACAGATTCCCTCCCTATTCCTGGATTTCTCAAAGAAGTTTCAAATGTAAAGTTTACCGATTAGTCCTCCTAGACCATATTTTAAAGAATACAATGGTCTTTATATAAACATAAAGGTGATATTTCAGATTCATGAATAAAGTAATGAGAGTGCTATAGGATGAATTTGTGTTATTCCATTTCCCCTGCACATAATCTGATTTACAAAATACATAATGATGCAACTAACTGAAAGCTTACGAAACAAAAGGAATTCATCTAATTCTGCAGAAATTGTTTTCAATGCATCATTCAAGTTTATCAGAGAGAGAGAGAAACTTCATGAAACTACAGATTCTCTCCCAGGCATTCGTTGACTTAGGTTATGTTCCGTAAATGTGATTATAATATATCGTGATTTTAACAGACACTGGTCGTTGATTAAGAGTTACATGATTTTTGCATAACTGATGAATATAGCTGTGACATAAAACCATATTTTGAAGTTTAATATGTTCCTATGTAGAAAAAGAATTTGGCCATATTGTCACTCAGTGTGCTTTAAAATGAATTCAAAGATCATTTATAGCTAAAGGTAGTGATTTAAAATGGAGAACAAACCACAATTTCAGTAGGTTCCGAGACAATGGATTTCGAGTCTACAATAATACCTCCCAATATTACTAGTTTTTAGCAGATTTTATTCGTAGGAGATGATATAATCATTAGTTAACATTAGAGTTATGTAGTCACTTTTTTAGAAGTCCATCACACGTTACGCGTTTTCGAAAAGCAAATTTTTCCAAAAGAAAAGATCTGGCAACCACATCTGATAACATTCAAAACAGCAAAAGAAAAACTCGACGAAATTTTAAGTCACATTTTAAAGTGAACTCCTTAACAAAAGTAAACTAATTCTCTAATATGGATTTTGTGTAAGGATGCCACATCCTTCTTAGTACACTAATAAATCAAAAATCCTGGTGACAACTCTGTACTGATTATTTGAAACCACGTGGTTACACTTTGGTATAAAGAATACAGACCAAGCCTTTCGAAGATATATAGACTAACTGACTTTTGGTTCAGCCTTATAGTTGTTTTTTTGTAACTGACTGGAAGAAGAAAATTGAATACCGCCTACATATCTAAACATTTCTACTCCATAATGGATAAGATTTTATTTTGATAAATCACACAGTGTTGTACAGTTATATTAACTGATGACGTTTCGAGCACAAACTATTGTTCATAATCATATCAAGTTACTCACACAACTTCTTTCCTTCATTTATATACATGTGTGGAATCGATTAGATATTGGAATAAAATTCAATATGAGATAATGTACATTCAGAAATAATAGTACGAGTGTTATTAATCCATTACAATTAGATGGGAAATACGACGAGTGTTTTTATAGTCATAATAAGTTAATTGTTAGAATGTTATGATGTGCTTGAATGGAAATAGAATTTTAAGATTATTTATTATCCTCTTCTGATTTGACCGGCGGTAATAATATCTTCCATATTTCTGGTATTTGCATTGAGTCACTTCTGTTGCATGTGTTCGGTGTAGACTCGATGAATAAGGATTCCGTAATCAACCTCTCTCTCCACCTACCTATATTACTTTTTAGAATTTTAACCCTATCTCACCCTATTGTGTGGTTGTTCGTTAATGCGTGAAGTGCAATTGCTGAGCTTTTTTCTAAATTACTTATCTTTTCAGGGTCAACCATTCTTCCCTTAGCTAAATTCTTATGTTCTGATAATCTGACTATCCCTGACCCACTAGTTTGACCTATGTAGTTGACCTCACAGTCATTGCAGGGTATTTTGTAAATTATATTATTTTGTTTGATTGGGTCAACAGGGTCCTTTAACCTACAGAGCTTGTGCCTGAGTGAGTTTGTAGGTTTGAATGCCACCCTAATTCCTGCTTTATTAAGAATCCTACGTAGGGTCTCAGATGTCCCCTCCTCATATGATATAACAGTGGATGACTTATATTCTCTCTTATTTATGTTATCATTACTAGTTCCACAATTAATTTTATTTTTATTTTGCTTTTGGCCTTTAGTTATCTTCCTAATGAATTTTAAAGGATAATTATTCAACACCAACGCTTCTTCTATCTGTTTTATCTCGTCGTTTAGGTCTTTTTTGTGCTACTTAGTGCTATGGCTCGGTTTGTCAGACACTTAACTAAGCCTGCCTTAAAAGTTAACGGATGAGACGAATTAAAGTCTAGATATCTATTAGAATGCGTTGGTTTTCTATAAACACTAGTGTGTAGTTTGCCTTCTTCTATTCGTTTTATCTTACAATCTAACATGGTTAATTCTCCTTGTTCATTTTCTGATTCAAATGTGAATTTTATTCCTTCTACTTGTGAGTTTATATGTGTTAAGAAGCTAGAGATATGTTCTGTTTTTAAATAAAATCTTATCCATTATGGAATTATACTCTACCACAGTGCCCAAGTTTTATACTTATTTCTACTCTAATTAGAAAAGCATGGAGTTGTTTTCAACAGACCCAAAAAGTATAAAAAGAAAACATTTCGTTTCAATAAATTATTATTCTTGCATTGGCTTCCGAGGGGAATATATAATTCCAACGTCACATTCTTATTTCACCCTGTTCTCTGCAGTGATTTTTAGCTCTAGGAGGGACGATACTGCCTGGATGAATGAAAGGCGTAACTCCGTTTAGATTGCTCCCACTGATGATGATGCGTACTTGCTTTTATTGGTCAAGTATCTTCATCACAACTATCTTCTCCATGTTAGCTCAATTTCCAGCCTTTACGGCATCTTCTGCCAATTTGTTGGTTTTCACCTAGAGATTTTCGAATCTGCGCAACATCAGATATCAACCATCCGCGAGGTAGAGACCTTCTAGTGTGTTCTTTTTGGTTCAAAGTATGCTCATCTCAATTCCCGCAACTTCACAGGTGATCCCGCTCTCCGCAGTCAGCATTATTTTCTGTGGGAGTAGACAGCCTAGTCTCACTCCAGCTTTCACTTCAAGTGCTTTGCTGAACAGTTTGCTGTGGATCACTTGGTATCTAGTGGCATCATTTAGGAAAGCTTAGGGCACTACACTGCACGATATTGAAGCAGGTCCCAAATTGCTTTGCGGTCAACTCTGTCGAAGGCCTGTTCCAGGCCATATTTCTCCAAACCACCTAATGTCCATAACAGTTTACTAGCAGGTTGTGAGAGCGATGATATGGCATGGACTAAATACTCCCGGTTTGCAGGAGCGCTACTTGGACACGAGTAAAAACGAAGAAGTCTTGATACAACGATACACAAATGGCAGCATAAAATGATGCAGA